TTTGGATTGCTTCCAGTACCTTGCTATTACAAAAGGCCTTGGTATTTTAGAATAAACATTCCAGTAATCACAATCACATTTGCCTTGCTTTACTCACCCATCTGTCTGGTTTGACTTCAGATCTGGAATTGAATTTTGATGCTTCTGAGGCTGCAAGAAGCCAAATGATGATTCCTTCTTTGCCTTTATCACTGTTACAGGCAACAAGATCGATCTGGCTGAAAGGAGAGAGGTCTCTCAGCAGAGAGCTGAAGAATTCTCAGAAGCTCAGGACATGTATTATCTGGAGACCTCAGCCAAGGAATCTGACAATGTGGAGAAACTCTTCCTTGACTTGGCATGCCGACTCATCAGTGAAGCCAGGCAGAACACACTTGTGAACAATGTATCTTCGCCCTTACCTGGAGAAGGGAAAAGCATCAGCTATTTGACTTGTTGTAATTTCAACTAAAGGCTCAGGCAAGGAGACAAAAAAGGAATCAGCAGCTGCCCTGATGGGCCACCAATGGCTGGGGAGATCTGGCGATGACTGTGGCTCCTGCTCGCGGACCTTCTGACTCCTGTGGGCTCCTGAGCTTACAAAGCATGGCAGGCCAAGGGCCTTGTCCACAGGCCAGCGTTAGCAGAACATAAAATGGTTTCACCCTTTTGCAGTCTGGAGTTGGAGCAAAGCAAAAATTGCACGAGGCGCTCCATGATCTGCAGAGCATGTTGCTTTTATTTTTTTAAAAAGCAAGTAAAAGCGCATTCCTGAACACAGTCCAGGGGGAAATGTACTGTAGAAATCCCTCCTGCACACCAGTGAGTGCATGTGGGGGCTGTTCTTTAGGGCTTCAGTGGTAATCTCCTGGGGGCCCCGGTTTTCTCGTCTACCAGATAAACCAAAACTGGGAAGGCCAAGTACTTTCTCTGTGGTGCGTGTTGATGACCGCATGGAGATTTTAAAAAGTGTTATTTCTCTTGTCCACAGGCACTTTCAAGAACTTTGGGATGTAAAAATGAAATGAAACCTTTACCCATGACCAATAGTAACAATCATTGTTAATATATACAAGCTCCATGACTCCTTTTGGTGCTAATGGTTCCGCTGTTTCACAGACCAAACGTTTTAGTACATTGATGTCCTTAAATGTATTATGTAGAAATGAAAAAAAAAAAAAAATGGGGAAGTCCATAAATCAGCACTCTTTCTCAAAGTCTCAGTACTACCTTTTTCTAGGGTGGATCTGTTTGAAAAGGGAATACTTTTTCTTTCATGTTCCCTTCCAAATATGTACTATTTTCTTTCTGTATTCCCTCACCTTTCCTGACCTTTAAGTAAATGAAAAAGTTTAAAAAATGAAAAAAATAATACGAATGGCTGTTGATATTCTAATATGAAATATTAGCTCTAAGACATTGAGTAATATGAGAAAACAGGCAAGATCTGACCAAAATACTGTGGTTTAATGGACTGCAGTGCAGGGTTCCAAACAGAGCACAGTCCTTGATAGCAGGTCACATCTTATACTTCTTGGTACTATCCATCTTGGACAGACCAAGGCTTAGGATTTTAT